TGTGTATAATACGTGTACATAAATAATGTATATATGATGTTTTTATATGTATGTTACTTTCTATTTACAGAAGGTAATACTGTTTTTCCGTTTACAGTGGTGTTATAAAGTTTCCTTTTAGAATGAACTTATTTAAGTAAAAATGCTGCTTTGATTCACAGAACATTTAAGTAAATGACAGAGTGTGACTTGTGCCAATGTGATAAAAAATTGTGGAGGTTGTGCATGAATGACTGCAGTTAGTCTGATGTCTTTCTGCTTTGTTTTGCAGATCCCTCCAGTGCCTCCGGAACTGCCAAGGTGGAGGAGAGGAAAGAGAGCTGGCGTCAGGCCACCCACCTCTATTTCGAGCAGGGCAGCTGCATCATTGTTGGGCTGGGAATTGGTGATCTAAGGTGTGAATTAGAGGAACGGGTCTACGCCTTAAATGAATAATAGTTAACAAGTTTGAAAATTTCAAATTGAGTCCAACACTCAGTTGATCAAGAAATTGAGACCCAGAGAGATTAAATGACATTTCCCAGTTCCCACTCAGTTTGTGACAAAGCCAGGACGAGGCCCATTCACATAACTGCCACCCATGCTTTTCCCACTGTGCTTGCTTCCAGAAGAGGCGGGACTGGGCCAGGACCCTGAAAAACGGGAGAACGTGAATGGGGAGGGAGGATGGGAGAGAGCTTTATAAATGGGGAGTCCAGAAGAACAAAGGTGTGAAGGCGAATGCAGGTGGCTCTTCCCAGAGCCAGGTGGGAAGAGATTTTTGACTAAAGGGAGGGTTCAGATGAAGGAGAGTGGGGAAACAGGCTGGGATGGGAGCTTGAATGCCTGCTGGGGAGAATGTTAACTCACCAGGACATGGGGATCCAGGTCTCTGAGCTGGGAAATGACACATGAAAACCATGCTCTAGGATGCAACATAGTAACTATGTTCAAATATGGCTTCCAGAACACACTGTGGACAAATTACTTAGCCTCTCTGTGCCTCAGTTTCTTCGTCTAGAAAACAGCAATAGCATTAGAACTTTCCTCATGAGATTTTGGTGAGGATTAATGGAAATAATACACCAAAAGGTGTCTGGTACTTAGTTAGGGCTCAATAAATAATAGCTATTATGATATTTTCTATGAAGGCCTGAATTGACTCAAGAGAGGGAAGTGGTTCGGCTAAGCTAGTTAGTAGCAGAGCCAGAATTAGAAGTCAGCTCTTAGAATTTCTACTTCAACACTCTTTTTCTTTCATTGCATCATGTTTTAAAACAGTTTATTATTTATTTTCTGGTATGTATTAGCATTTCACTTGCAAGACATAGCACCCTTATTCCTTCAGTATAAACACACTGCCACAATGGTTTCCTTTTGCAAAAACAATTTTGATCGATTTCTTTCACTCTCTAATTAATATGTCACATTTAGAGTGAGGGAACTGCTCACCTTGAAAAAGTAAGACTTTCAATTTTCAGGTCGTCAGCCCCTGACATCGGAGGCTGACTTTGAACTGTATGAAATTACACATGACATTTACAATTTAATAACTGTTCTGATTGCTTCTTTGTGTCTGTGGAGAAAATAACATTTATTTTGACCAAATGTTATCTTTTCTCCTTTTCATCAAATGAATCATACTTATGACCCCAAAGCTTCTGTTGTTCTTTATGATTCATTGATCAACCATGAAAAAACAAACAAATCAAATGCTGAAACTTGGGTGACAATCTATTGGTGATTCTCTCCAGGAGACTGCAGTCTCCCAAAGCATCATAGACTTTAAGAGATGGCAGCTCCCTCAGAGATTCTGTGGCCCAACTCCTTTATCTTTACAGATGAGAAAACTAAGCTCAGAAAGGTGAAGTGACTTGTGCAAAGTCATCCAGTTGGTTGCTGGTTAAGAGGGATTTTGAACCCATTTTTTTTCTGACTATGAGTCCCCATTGCATCGTGCCTGCATCAACTCATGGATTTCTAAAAAGTCTTCCTGCGTTATCAGGCAGGACAGATCCAGTTTGCTGTTTGTTTGTTTTCCAAACAAAGTTTTATTGAAACACAGCCATGCTCATTCATGTAATTTTGGCCCATGGCTGCTTTCTCACTACAGTGACAGAGGTGAAGAATTGCAACAGACCACATGGCTGCAAAGCCTAAGATATTTACTATCTGTCCCTTCTCAGAAAAAGGTTGCTAATCCCTGTTGTATATCAAGCCTGCTCGAAATTCTCTTTTTTGTTTTCACTTTTTTTGTATCACATCCTATTGTCAAATCTGGAGAAAGTGGGGCTGGGCAGGGAGGGATGAGAAAGGAGAGAGAAGAAGGAGCTGACGTGTATTTGTCTAATTTGGGAGACTTTATATGTGTCATCATATTTCATTCTCAAAAAGATGATGTCAGATTGGTATTTTAAGCTCCACTCTATAACTAAGAAAACTGAGGCTCAGAGAAATAAGAGCTAAGTTGCCTAAACTCGTGTCACTAATAACTAGCAGAATCAGGATTTGAATCCAGCCTTCCCTATTCCAAAAATCTCTGTTCTTTCCATTAGACCGTGTGATTGTCATAGTCAAGGTTACCTTCTATTTTTAAAAAATATGATATACCATCCCCTAAGTTGAAATAACTTAATTAAAAAATAATATTGGGAACCAAATCATATTTGATTAATAGTTAACTACTGGGAAAATCGTCGAATTCACGATGCCATTGTTGGTTTCGTTTTTGTTTGGGTGCTGACTTAAACAAGTGAGTGAGTTGGACTGCAGAAGATGAGAACAATACGTATTTTGACAATTAGCATTTTGCATTATTGGAGAAACTTGATGGACTCATAGCTCTGTTAGGAAGAGGTGGAATGGAAGTACCATATGTATGTTCATACAACTAATTACATAGACACCATGTAGATGTGTTTGTGTTTAATTGACAACCCCTCCTCTCTAAGGCTTGCTGCAATTCTCTAAAGCAGTGGTTACCAAATTTGCCTCATCGTCTGAATCAGCCATGAAATGCCTTAGAATACAGATTCCCAAGACTCTCCCACAACACTCCAGCCAGCGTATCTGGGTTTAGGTTTGCGAATCTGTATTTTATTTTTTTAACCTCTGAAGGTGATTCTGAAGATCAGCCAGCTTTGGGAAACCCCTCTGCTCTGAGTACTGAGCGGATGGACATCTATATCTTTGTCTCAGTCCTTCCTGATCATTTCTTATGTCTTCTAAGCCCGTCCTCTTCCTGAGTCCCATGCTGTGGTCAGTGGGCACGTCGTTCCTTGTCTTTTCGAATGAGGCTTGGGGAGGGGCGCTTCACACACCACACTCTGTGTTTCCTCAGTATCCAGTGAAGTAATGCAAACACTTTCTGTCTTAATTGCAGTTACCATGGTTAGTTTTGCTTTTGTTTCTATCACTGCCTTTTTTGCTTTCCATTTGTGTTCGTATAAATTCCTCAAATGACAAATCCAACTCTACTTTCTTCTGCTTTCTGATGACAAAAGTGAGGTTCATGGACATTCAGAATTCTGGTGATAAAGCCTACGATTCCCCATACTCTGTGACTCATCTCTCTTTCCTTTCTTGCTTTTAAAAATGTCACTGCAACCATTAGGGATTAAAACCAAAAGGGACTTTGAACCCTGAAAATTTGGTGGTCTCAGCCACGCATTAATTTAAATCTTTCCTCCCCAATGTGTAGGCGTTACATTAGCCTAATATAACAGGCTTTTAACTAGTTATATACATATAACCACGCGCAATACACGTTCATTTTTTTTTAACCAGTTCCTCTCTCTTCCATAAGTTAAATAGAATAATTGACCTCAATGGTCTTTGTTACTTGTTGGGAATCACTATTACTGACTTTGTGTGAGAAAGTTAGTTCTTACTCCCTTAGGATGAGATGTTTCTTTCTTTCTTTTAGATGAATTAGGACAAAAATATATGATGTGTGGAGACTTCAATGCATCGCATATTATAATTATGATTGGTTAGGTTGTAATAGAGAAAGCAGTAGATATAGAATCTAAAAAGAGGAAAGACAATGTTTAACATTCTGAGAAGAACAATAGAGATCTGCTCCTATGAAGGTGTTTAGAATTACTGCATCTTACTCTCAAAGAGACGTGTAACTGACAGCAAATACGGAGTCAATGAGGACATCAGAAGGATATTTGAAAGACCCTAACAAATTGTGGCCACCAAATTGGGATTCATGAGATGAGAAATAGTGACTTAGACCATAATGTAATATACTTATATAAGCCATTAAAATTAGAGGTGAAAAAGGAAGCTCTATTAAATTACTTTGGGCAGTATCTTTCTGTCTCTACAAGATTAACAGAGCACAGTTCACAATAGATGTCTCAAGAAATTTAACTAACCATTCATTTAAATCTAAAGTGGATAAGCTGCAATTAAATAAGCATTTTATGTTCCAAGTTAGACTGGCCCTAATGAGCGGATCTAAATCTTGTTTTCAGAATCAAAATTGCCTTTTGTGACAGCACCTCCTTGCCAGTCTGTCCTTCCAATCAGGACAAGCACTTCAGAGTAAGGGCATGCGTGCCGGACAGATAAGGACACTCCCCAGAAATCTCGTGAACTGTTGAAAGTCACAACCTTTTGGAAACAACAGAAATTATGCTACTTCAGAAAGGTAGTTTTGATTTCCAGGAAATTAAGATCCCTTTACTAACCTCCTAGTGCCCTTCTCATAGAGAAGAGGTGTAAACTGGGCATTTGCAGTAGGAGAGGGCAGAGAACCTGGCTATGGTTCCCTAAAGGCATTGCCTGCTCTGGGCCCTCGGCATTTACCAGAAGCTACTATGTATTGTCATTTATCGTCCAAGCATCTGTCTGTCTTCTTGACTAGATTGCTAGCATCCCACAGGCAGGAAGGAAGGTGAACTGTCTGGGCATCACCAGCACCTTCTATGTGGCCTGTTCAAGCATTTGCTGTAGATGCGGGTGATGTCATTAGGTAGATAAGTTAGTTAAAAGAATTTAGAAGTGCTAAACCATCCAATAGCTTCTAAAATTTGAGCAGTTCATTCTTTGCCTTAGTTAAAATGGAACAGATCTCTTCTCTGTAGGAGGAACAAATGAAAAATGAGTACCAAAATTCAAACATTGCCTCAGTTTAATATATACATTTGTTTATTTAGAAAACACAACAAAGTATAAAATCATCAGAATACTTAAATAAGCCAAAACAACAAATATATCTTCACCTTCTCAAATCCTTTTTTGTTGGAAGTCATGTCAATTATATCAGCCTTTTCCTGAGCATGAGATGCAGAATGGGTCCTACATGATCCTAATAGTTATTAGAGGTAAAATTGTTCGGTTTAATAATTTAAGGAAAGTCTGGGTGAAACAAGGTTAAAGAGATTTCTTTATTATAGGGTTTCTCAAAGTTTTGAATTATGCCAAAATGCTTTATGAATCTTCGAGATTGGAAGGCAGATGGTAAAGATTTGGTTACATTGCAACTCTTTTTGTGGACCAACTCAGGGACCAGTGGTCTGAGGAGCACGCTTCAGGAAATGCTGAAGCAGACACATTTCTAATGAAGGCTCCTCTCTTAGAGAAATTTCATCACTGAAGACGTGAATCAAAGGACTGCAATTCAGTAAAACTTTCTGGAATGGTGGTTCTCAGTCTTGGCTGCCCGTTAAAATTGCTTGGGAACTTTAACCATGTCAATGCCCAGCCCAAGCCCAGGCCAGCTCAGTCAGGGTCTCTGAGGGTGAGTTTTCTCATCTAGAAAATGGAAGTGATAACATCTACCTCACACGGTTGTCGTGAAACATAAATGAGATCATGGAAATGCCTACTCTGGTGCTTGAAACAAAGTTTAGTCTTTGAAAAAAATGTTTCTTTCTGGAGGTAGTGTAGAATTCCAATTAAGAAATGTAGAAGATATTATGAAAATAGAAAATCACTGTTTGGCTGCCTCAGTTTTGCATCTATGGATGCTAAAATCAGAGGGTAAATCTATGATGAGAAAGAGGATGTTTACATAGCCTTAAAGTATTTCTCCACAATCTACTTATTGATTAAAAAGGAAAAAACAGTAATTTTAACAGTGGAAGAATCTGGCAGACTCCATTTTAACCAAGTGATGAAAAGTAACCTCACCAGTAATGAGACATGTCAACATCATGTACCCCCTTGATGTCAAGTGCTGAGAAGAGCACAGCAACACTTTTGTGGTATTCTTGCCAAAAATACATTATCTGAGTTTACTTACAAGGAAACATGAGACAAATCCAAATCAAAGGATATTTTACAAGATAACTGGCCAGTATGCTTGAAAAGTGTCAAAGTCGTGAAAGAAAAAGAAAGAAAGACTAAGGCAATATCCCTGATTGGAGGAGACTAAGGAACCATGACAACTAAAGGCAATGTGTGATCACTGTGCTATGGCTATGCCAGATGTTAACACTTGGGGATGACGGCAAAGGAGAAACGGAACTCTGTGCTGTTTTGCAACTTTCTTCTGAGTCTGAAAATTTTTCAAAATGAAAAGTAAAAAAAAAAAAAAAATCAACGTTTCTGCATTTCTTCCCCATTCTGGGACTTTAGAGATAATAGAATCAATATTCAAGGAGGTTTTTCTCCCTCCTAGCTATTTTCAGTATAGGGGAAATCGGCCCTATTATATATAATAGTATATTGAATATAGTGAGACAGAGACCCAAGATGCACATTTAAACAAATATTTCATATAATTTGGATACATGTGGTCCCTTGGCCGCCCTGGTGTAAATACCAGATAGAGGATTTGGTAGAAGAGGAAAAAACAAAAGAGATCCAGGAAAGCAGAAGATGGGAGCAGAGGTGGTGGTGAGAAGAAATTAGGAGCTCCTGGAGATGGGTTTCAGAAAGAGTTCTTGGTTTTTGAATAAGAGAACAGGAGGAAGAGAGACAGTTGTGGTGGTAGGGAATGGCTGTGAAAGAAATTAAGAAGGGCAGAGAGGCGACAGAAGAGTTTAGAGATATGTGACTGGCATTACACGTGTATGTTCTTCTTGGCATTTGCTTGTGACCCTGCAGTAGAGATTTTGACTTTTTTCTAATTTACTTGCTTTTTTTCTTTGAATATTACTGTATGCTGAGACTCATCTTCAAAGAGCCTGGTTATAGTCCTGTTGCACTGCGACACAGTCTAGATCACGTGCCTTGTTTGGAAGACAGATGACATAACCCTTTACCTGGTAGCCCTTCGGCCTTATGAAGAGAAGTAGTTTGGCCCTGCAAACTCAGCCCCCTGAAGGAACATGCAGGCTAGTTCTCTGTTGTTGAGCAGGTTGAGTAGTAACCACCATCAGCAGACTGGAGAATCGCTGGTGCAGTGTGGCCGAGGAGCTATGTGGGGTCTCATGGATTGTCTTCATCTGCAAGGTCCATTTGTTTCTTCCTAATCATTTTCAGGACTGGAAGCCAGAAATGAATCTGAACAGACAAAAATATGGATGAAGGAGCATTAGAGTCATTTCAAATGCCTCTGACATAAACTTTTCGTTGTGGGACAACTGGTGTCAGGAAAAATACAAAAGACTTTGAAATGGCCAGAAAAACATATCCTTGCAGGTTATCTTGGTCTTTCATTGTCTATGAGCTATTTTCCATTTCTGTAAGTTGTAGATAGCTGACAGCAATAAAGCAAATGATTCTTGTCCATGGACATTCAAATGAATTTCACTCTGTAGAGTACAATTGACCCTCTCATCCACCCTTGTGGAAGAAGCCAGTTTTGCATCTATTAAGCAAATTCATTTTGGAATTCCTGATGGCCTGTATATTTGTATGCTTTGAATCGTTCTTTGAATTGGTTGGAATTTCTTACTGTTGCCTCTTTAATTAATAAGTTAAATAAAATCTTTGACAAGTGTTCATTTTATATGTATGTGAAAGTTGTGTATATAAATTGTGTATTATCTATATAAAAATACATATATATTATATATATCATCATATATATACATCACATGTATATTTTAATCCTGGAGGATGAGCAAATTCTTTGGAGCTTACGAAGCTGCAGTAGGTATTTCTCTCTCTGTTATTTATTATCCTTGACCTGGTAAAGTAACCCTTATTGGGCACTGTCTTTTAATAGCCATTACAGAGAGCCTTCCCAGAAGCCTCTCTACAAAATGACTGAACATACTCACTTGAAATCAATGTTTTGAAGGTATGTCTTATAGAATCCTCTGGACCAGTATTCAAAATCACAAAGCTAAGAGCCTTAGCCGTGTACGTCTGTGAACCCCCTTACTCCAGTGTCCCATCTGTTACTGGGGATATAAGCCCTAATGTGAAGGTGAAGGGTGTTATGAAATTCTATTTGCCCTTCAAACTCAAAATTTCCTTAATTATAGATCATACCCCCATCTTGGCCTTACCTTTGTAAAGTACAGACTCAGTTTCCTTTTTACTTCTCCCACTGGCTGCTTTGATCTTTTCTTCAATATCTTCTCATGCAGGTATTGGACGCGCTCCCTCTGCGTGCTTGGATAGAAGGATGCTGACACCAGGATTTTAAGTTGCATCAGGATGGAGGACAACAGTCCTAGCATCACTAGTATCACAAGAATAATGCTGAGAGGAATCCAGGTCTTAGACAGAAGGAGCTTTGGTTTAGGGATGCAGCTGGGTTCAAACAGAGATATATTAAAGGGAGAATCATGGATGATGGCTTGAGTTCCTTGCTCCTAAAATGAAAGAATAAAGTCATCAAGGCCCATGCCATTTTCATCCTCAGTCTTTGTCTTTCTCAGTACTGCCCTGAAACACATAGTGTTTATCTTAAAACATGCAGAGAGCTTTGGCTGAAGGAGCTATTGTAGCTACTTTTGTGCTGTGATTGGAGTGAAGGAGAAGGGACGAGTCTTATTTGTAGCTATTGCAGTGTTTTCCCAAGTGAATTTGTGGAAATAAAGATTTCCCGGAAAGAAGAATACCAGATAAGTTTGTCTATTCTGTCCCTTCTTTGGAGAGTCACAATGATGTGAGACAGTTGAAGATTCAGAAAAAGGCAGAGAAATCTAACTTCAGCCAGCTGTTCTCCTAACAAATTTGACCACATAACCCATTTTTATGGAACACCTGTTTCTACACTGTAGGCCATGTGGGACTAACTAAAGATGGTTTTCTCTCAACTGGGGGAGAAGTTTTTTGGGAGCATAGCTCCTTAAGACCCAGTCATATCTTCCCCCTCTTGACAAATACTCCATCAGCAGACCACAAGGTCACAAAGATGTGTAGACATTAAATCATGTTCTAAGTCAATCTTTTAGAGCTTGGAGCGAGGGGAGGGGAGACTATCCTTAGCGTAAGAATACCAAGAATAGTATTTACTGAAGGTAGCTCTAAAATCATATTTGTAGAGGTCTCAAAATAGGACATTTTCTCCTTTCTCTTGAATGCTCAGGAGGGGTGCATTTCTTCCTGCTTGAAGGCAGGAGAACAAACCAGTTGCCCTCAGCAAACTGACACATAGGGCATAAGGTGACATTGAGCCACCCAGCCAAGCCACCAGCAAGAGTAGTGTGTGCTGATTCAGCTCTTTCTTTTCCCTGACCTAAGAAAGTCATTTAATCTCTCGGTGGATTTGTTTTCTAATTTGGTAGGAATTCTAATTCTAACAGGAATTAATGGACCAGATCCTGCCCAGGCATAAACTACTCCCAGTGTAAATTAAGCACCTTGGGGATGGAGCATTAACCTTACAGGCTAGAGTACTTGTAAGTTATTATCACCCTAGTGCCCCAGAGCCCTGGGGCCAGGAAGAGGTAAATGACGTCTCTAAAAGAACCCCACCACACCCAGAGAAGACCATGCACCTTGGACCTACGCTAATACCTGTGAAGAATCTGGAAACCCCAAACCTGGGACCTCTATACAAATGTCAAGTCAAATCTGTAATTTCCCCAGCACCGTGACTAAGCAATGAAGAGCATTTGGGTTGCCTCTCCTTTTCTCTTATCAAACAGACAGTTTACCTACAATTAAATAGAGAGATTTTGGTCCCCAGAGCAAAAGAACGCACTCTTTATAACACCAGTGAAGAAACAAACACATCGATTGAGTCGGTGATGAGAAATCCTGCAGTAAGGAAGCAGCGGGTGTCGGGTCTGGGAAGAAGTTATTTAGTCTAGGAATCTAACCAGGGATTTCGCAGCTGGGAGTCAGGGCTTCACAAAGCTTGAGTCAACATTTTTGTACGGGGTTGGTGGAGGGTAATGTGGAAGACAAATGAAGGTTCTCAAAATGCCGAGCAATATACTAAATGGTTCCCTGATGTTTTAAAATGTGTTTACCTCTCTTAACTAAACAATTTGCCAAGACAGTGTTGAGTAGTGGACTGAGGACATGCTCTGGTATCAGACAGTCCCTAAAAGCTAACGCCGACAAAGGCTGTGTACATAGTAGGTACTCAATAAGTAGCGATTATGGCTATTTTTTTACTTACAATGCCCACCCATCCAGCTAGCTCATTTCAGGTCATTTCCCATCTTTCTTCTTTATTTAAAATCGTATGAAAGTGGGAGAGAAATATTGGCAAAACCTTAAGCCAATGATTCTCTTCCTGCTTGATTTCTCCTTTGGCAAATCTGCAGCAAGGGAGAGACCAGGAGCCTCCAAGGGCATCCTGGGAGAAGGTCAGGGTGCTGCCAGTCACGCGGAAGCTTGCTGCTGGCGGCGCAGTCTCCCAGACATGGCAGGAGACTTGGAGAGGAGCTCCCACAGCAGTCTCGTACTTACATCTGTTCCAGCGCCCACTGCCCTGCTGTCATTGTGAGTGTACATGGCGGCCTCCCCCGCCAGGACGTGAGCCCCTCCATGGCAGCCATCTAGGTCTAGACATCTTTGCATCCCCATGACCCACCAACGCCCAAACATGTGTTTGTTAGGACACTGCCATCAGAAAGCTTCTGGGCTTTTTTTTGGAAGGCAAAACTTGCCTTTTTTTTTTTTCCTTCTGTCTAAGACAGTGAGAAATCACAAAACAGGCATTGGTATGGCTGAGAGAGAAATAAATGAAAGAGAAGCAAAAACATAAAGGAGAGGAAGAATTGAGAGGGGAGGACCAGAAGAGAGAATCCAGGAGGAGAGTGGGTTGGGGGAGGAGAAGCCCTTTGCTAGCCAGCCCCCAGGAACAAGCCAGTCTACAAATCTTGTTTGGCTTTCATTTGAAGCACTGCTTCCATTATCCACCCTGCTCCAGATATCTAGAGCAACAGGGTTCTTGTAATTAACTGAATTCTTCAGGGGAAGCTGAGGGCTCAGAGTAATCAACTCTGAGCAGCAGCCAGGATTAGAGGGGCAGGGCCCTGGACCTACCTGCTGAGCCAGAAGAACAGAAGAGGGAAAGTGAGGATGCAGCAGAGGATCCCTGGCCTTGAGAGATAAAGAGAGAAACGGGAAGTGGGGTTCCAAAGGAGGGTTTACAGGCACCCTTTCTGACATTCCCCTCTAAGATTTCCCCAGCAGCCAGCACAGCCTATTGTAGGTTGATAAAGAGGAGGGAAAATCAAACCCATGGAAACAGCTGTTGGCGTTTTCACAAGCCTGGGCTACTGCACTCCACCCGAGCATGCATGGCACTCATACACATGCACATGCGCACACAGGCACATACATCCACGCATATACTACACGTTCATGCATGTGCATACACACATCCCACCTGGCTCAGCTTCACCATCTTTGGGTTTAAAAAAATAAAACAAGTATCTGACAATATCTAGATCCCCTGAAATGTCCATATAATCACAAATTTCCACAGGGAAAAATGGGAAGGAGAAAAGATGGGAGGCACAAAACCCACAGTCCTCTCTGTTGGGATAGGGCTGCTGGGAGGAGGGAGATGGAGGAGAGAAAGGCAGGTTCCCCGACACCCAGGAGGTACCAGCTCAGAGAAACAAACAGTCTTGGCTAATTAAGATTTTCGTAGATCCACCTGATGGCCTTTAAAGGTTAAACTTCCGCTCTATCCTTTGGGTGGTGGGTTCAGAACAATGGTTCTCAATCTTGGCCACACATTAGAATTATTTGGGGAGTTTTAAAAAATCCTTCACCCAGGCCTCACTCAGTCCAATTAAATCTGAAACCCTGGGGGCCAGAACAAAGCAACAGATTTGTTTGCTACTTTGCTTGTTCAGTCCCACAGAGATGACACTGCGCAGCCACAGTCGAGGACCACTGGTTTAGAAAGCCCTTGCTTTCCAGGACCTGAGCTAGAGTTTCTCAAAGTGTGGTCTGTGGACCACCTACTCTGAAAGCACATAGAATGCTTATTAAAAGTGCCCTTGTGTTTGAAACAAGATCTCTGTAAATTGAAGCCTGAGACTCTGCATCTACCCCAGGAAATTCATAACACACACTTAAGGTTGAAACCACTGACTTAAATTGTCTGAAAAAACCAAGTGTAGCTGGTTCCACTTTTTAGTGAGTGTTATCAAGTACTAGTACCAGCATATTATTTGGTTATTTAGGAGCCCTTTTTCAATGACCATCCTCTTAAACACTATGCTGATGCATTGGGAGCCCTCTTGCGTTTGATGAGGACTCAGGATGCATATAAAAGAAGTTCTCCTTTAGAGAAGGTGCTCAAAGTTTACTTGCACAAGTCTAGGGGAGAGAGGAAGTCAGGCTGTAAATACGGCCTCTTGGTTTCATGCGAGGTACTTCTGCTTGAGAATCAGCTTTGAGTTCAACATCAGAGGCACCTATCCCACATTTCAGTGTTTGCTGACTGTACGAAACTGAAAAATGGCCCCCCAAAGACATAAGATCTAACCCTCCAAATTTATAAACGTTACTTTATTTGGAAAAAAGAGGCTTTGCAATTGTGGCTCAGTTAAGGATCTCGAGATGGAGAAGTTACTCTGGATTATCCTGGTGAGCCCTAATGCAATCACATGCATCCTTTAAGAAGGATTTTACATGGACTGAGGAGAAGGCAAAGTGAAGACAGAAACAAAGATGGAGGGATGCAGCCACAAGCCAAGGAAGCCTGGCCGCCGCCAGAAGCGGGAAGAAGTGAGGACTGGATTCTCCCCTAGAGTTGAAGGGAGGGTGGCTCTGCCAACAACACCTTGATTTCAGCCCACTCGTGCTGATTTTGAACTTCTTGTCCCCAGAACTACAAGGGAATAAATTTCTATTGTTTTATTTATTTTATTTTATTTTTTTGAGGAAGATTAGCCCTGAGCTAACATCCACCGCCACTCCTCCTCTTTTTGCTGAGGAAGATTGGCCTTGAGATAACACCTGTGCCCCTCTTCCTCTACTTTATGTGAGGGATGCCTGCCACAGCGTGGCTTGATAAGCAGTGCGTAGGCCTGTAGCCAGGATCCGAACCGGCGAACCCCAAGCCACTGAAGCAGCACGTGCGAACTTAACCGCTGAGCCACCAGACCAGCCCCTAAATTTCTGTCGTTTTAAGCCACTCAGTTTGTGGTAATTTGTTACCGCAGCCACAGGAGACTCGCACAATGACCAAAGATGTTTGGAATGATGTCATATTCTGACGTCAGGACTTCGATTCAACTTAACCCACTCTTCTTGGGCTCCTTCTACATACTGGGCACTGTGCCGGGCACCGGGGGTCCAGAGGTGAAGAAGATACTGCCCAGCCTTGGGCAGTTCATGATCTTTAGCAAACAGATCAGCAAATAGGCAGGCTACATCATGAGAAGGGCCTGGGAGCACCTACCTCTCTGTGCAGTTTCAAGTGAACCTCAAGCCCTGGCAAGCTTTGGAAATGCTTGCTCACGGAGAAAATGAGCCGATACAGCAGATAATCTACGGCTGCAAACAGCACCCAGATGTAGAGATGGGTGAGAATGGGGAGGAAAAACAGCCCCAGCTTCTTCCTTTCTTTAGGAGTCGGCCAGAAAGACGGGACCACAACATACTTCCTCCTTTCCTTCTTATTCAGGGGGAGGACACAGGGCCTCTGTTGACACCTCTCCCTTTCATCAAACTGAACGAACTGTCTGGTGATGTAAAAGTTTTCAAACTTCCAACCACAAGGATCCAAAAATCGCTTCATGAAGAGGCCAGTGCCCAGCAGCACCAGCAAAAGCCCTGCAAGGGCAAATAGCTGCCGTCCCAGGGAGGAGAGCACCTCTGTCGCCGTCACCATCTGGTACAAGACACCCAGGACTTCGACTTTAGTGTCATTTAGCTGTGCCTCCAGGGCTTGGCTGGGACTGAAAAGAGAGACCGCCAGGGTCTGGTTCCAAGACACGAGGTCGTCAAATAGACTTGGGTGGGTGATAAGGCGGTAAATCCACCGAATTGCTTCAATGTATTTTTTCAAAAGTGGCAGATGTATGGAAAAACTCTTTGCCCTGAGGTTGCAAGTCATACTGTCCAGGAGACCTTTAAAGTTATGAAAAATATTTTCCACGTGTCCAAAGATTACAATCCCTGTGCCAGCTGCAATCAAAGCATTCCTGCCCTCACGCAGGCCGCAAGAGAGGAAGAAGAGAAGAAGGAAACATCGCGCGTGCTTGGAGCAGCACAGCAGCACACATGTTATCATCCAGGAGGTGGCAAAGACTGTGAACGAGGACACAACCCAGTAGAAGGCCACAGAGAAGAGGCCCACTGAAATGAGAGCAACAAAACAGCAAACTCCCAAATGTTGGATAAAGTCCATCCATCCAGGGCTTCTTGGAGACACATAGGTCCCCCAAAGACTTAGGAAGATATCAGTGCCTGAGGTCCAGACACCCATGCTCCCTGTGTCCCTGGAAATGAAGAAGAAACCAGGGTCAGATGTTGCTTTTGAATGTCCTCTGTCACTTTGGAAAGGGCATGGTGATAGATTGGCTGCAAAAAATGGCTATAATTCTTTACCCTTTTCGGTCTCCACACCCTTCTTGCAATGTGACTTTATAGCTTCTCCCATTAAGAGGTGAGAGAAATAGAATCTTTCAAGAAGTGGGGTCTCTTTCTCAGTCTTTGAACTCGGGATGGCCTTGTGATGTCTTTGGCCAATAGAATGTGGCAGAAGTGACGGGGCCAGTCCTGAGTCTCTGACTCACTCCTGCCTCTCTCTTGGAACCTTACTACTAACTTTTTAGCAAGTCCAGGTGTATTGATCTCCTGTTGCTGCTGTGGCCAATCACCACACACTGAGCGGCTCATAGAAACACGTCTGTATTCTCTTACAGTTCTTGGGGTCAAAAGTCCAAAATGGGTCCAGAGGGCTCTGTTCCTTCCGGAGGCTTCAGGGGAGAATCCATTTCCTTATCTTTCCCAGCTTCTAGAGGCTGCCTATATTCCTTGGCTCATGGACTCTCCTCCATCTCAAAGCTAGCAATATTGCATCTTCTTTTCTCTCTGGCCTCTGCTTCCATCCTTATATCTTCTCTATGACTCTGATCCTCCTGCCTCCCTCTTATCAGGACCCCTGTGAATTATATTGGGCCCACCTAGATAATCCAGGATAATCTCCCCATCTCAAGATCTTTTTTTTTTTTTTAAGATTTTATTTTTTTCCTTTTTCTCCCCAAAGCCCCCCCGGTACATAATTGTATATTCTCCGTTGTGGGTCCTTCTAGTTGTGGCACGTGGGACGCTGCCTCAGCGTGGTTTGATGAGCGGTGCTATGTCCGTGCCCAGGATTCGAACTGACGAAGCACTGGGCCGCCTGCAGCGGAGGGCGCGAACTTAACCGCTGGACCATGGGGCCAGCCCCTCAAGATCTTTAACTTAATCACATAAGTACAGTCCCTTTTACTATGTAAGATAACATATTCACAAGTTCTGGGTGTTAGGACGTGGACATCTTGAGGGAATGAGGCATTATTCAGCCTATCACACCAACTTGGGCTGCTGTGTGACAAAAGGCACATGACCAGTCAATTCCATCCACTTGGCCAATAGCCAGCCAACTGCCGGACATGCGAAGGAGGCCATCCTAGACCAGCCAGCCCCGAGTCAGCCCACCAGCTGATAACAGATACTTTAGTAACGATAAATATTTATTTGTTTTAAGCCACTGAATTCTGTGATGCTTTGTTAGGGGGTAATTGTTAATTGATAAATGCAGTAAAGCTGTATCATGGGTCTTAATAGTTGAAACAAACCCTAGGCTGATGGGTGGACAGGCTATAAATTCCGTAAACTGCGTTATGTAAGATCACTTTTTGATAGGCATCTATTTTCTCATGCTCTAATTTTACAGACCAAAAAGTGTATCAAGGGCATCCAAACTTAACTGTGGCATTGGACTGAGGTCATTGTACCTCTCTCTGTAACCATCACCCACTCCCCTACCCTTACCCTCTGAGTCTAGTTCTCTCCTGAGAATCTTATAAGGAAAACAACAATAATTTGTCACTGAGTTAATTATCTTTTCTTTTTTCCCAGATCTGGCATAATTAAAATGCAGGTGCGAGGGGGCTGCTACCACCCTGTCAGTAATGCAGATTTAGGTCTGTGATGCACTCGGAGAGTCTTGGGTTCATTTGGAATGATATAAAATCAATTTGAGACATTTTTCTCTTGATTCACGTGAAAATACCTAATGAGCTTTATACCATATGTATGGTATAGACATCGATTAGTTCTTAAACACTCTCAAATAAATCCCTTCTCACATCAAATATGATGGGACTGGATTTACAGAGTAGCTTAATACTATTGGAGCCAGTGAACACAGGCTCGTGGTGTAGGAGAGGGGGCCGGCATTGGCTAGAGGGAGTGAACTGAGCAGCCCGAGGTGAGGAAACCATTCTCTTTCCGTGTTCAGGCCAAAGAAGGTTAGTGCAGGGCAGACAGGAGGTGAGGAAATAGGTTAGGAACAAACCTGTGGAAATTCCTCCTGTGATAATGCGGAGGGCCTGCAGCTCCTGTCAGGTAATCTGATTGGAAATGCTCAGCACAGAAAAGAGATGTGGGGAGAAATTAAGTGTTAAAGAAGGGGCATTACCATGTGGGACCAGCCTTATCAGAGATTCAAGATCCCAGTAAGAGGATGCTCTTACTCTATCAGGAGGAAAGGGAATTGGAATGGCCATGAGAATGGGAACCAGGGAAAGGACATAGCTCTTTTTTGCCTGCCAGCTTGCTTACTTTCAGAATCGGAGGTTGGTTTGAAGGTTGGCAGTGTGCCCAAGCACGTTGCTACTCCCACTCCGCTCTGACCCCCAGAAATCACCGATGGGCCCCTGAGCTCCGGAACCTTCCTCAGCATTGCTGACCTGAGTCAGAGCTGCCTCACGGTCTGGGGGGGGGACGTAAACAGTGAGCGGCCAGCAGCCAGCAGGCTGGCAGGGGCAGGACAGCTGGCATCCGAGCAGGTCACAGGTGGTGCCTCTCCTCCCGTGTGTGGCCCCATTCGCTTTCTTTGTCATGGCTTTGGATTTGACCCCAAACCATTATTTGACTAATTGACTCACTAATAGGGATTAATGGCCTGTTACGTTGTAGGCACTTTACATAAAGCATCTCTCTACATCCTCCCTGAAGCCTCTGGAGATGCTCTTCGCATTTCACACAGTGGAAACTGAGGCTCAGAGCACTGGCTGAAATGTGTCAGCAATCACATGGAGGGTAGATGGTACAGTGGGAGTCAGACCAGGTCTCTCTGCTTCTGGGCCAGCTCCCTGCCCCCTGCATCATGCCCAGATTCCCTGACTCTGGGTTATGTGACGGGACACTCAGCTCACTGTCTTTGCTGGAAACACATTACACTTTCTGCCAGTGACTGTTTAAGAGCTGACCTGTATATCACAAACCCATTTCTATCTGCTCATTTTTTTCTCTGCATCAAAATAGTTGACCCTGTAAGGATATGTCTCAAATCAGCTCTCTCTAGAACAAATCAGAAAAGCTAGCTGTTTTATTTTTTTCTAGTATCCCTTATGAGGCAGCATTTTTCTCACTTCCTAAAAAAATTACTAATGCATATTTTGGATTCATTTTTCCCTGGTCTTGTTTCATCCTTCTACAGTGTGTCCTTAATACAGATATTTCTCTAAACGTATGAAACAAATTTATGAACACATTAAAATTGTAACATTCGGCAATAAAATCTAATCTCAATTAAATAAGATATACGACTGCAATTTTGTCCTGTAAGAGGCACATGTTTTCTTAACAAGCAACAGATCTAATATTATCCTCCTTGTTTTTGTGCTGAAAACAGCACGTCATCAAAAAACACCAAAACTTTCTGCGGCAGGAGGACTAAATGCATTCTCTCCCATTTCACAGCTCAAGCCACAGAGGAGAGATTTGGATCACGGACTATGAGCCCAGAGGCTGGTGTTCGTTCTATCCTTCCTGTCATGTTGAGTGTGACCCTGATTTCCTCCTGTTCTCTGTTCCTCGTTTTCTCTACTTGAGTGTAAGACCTGCCTGAGCTCCCGCCTGATGAGGTTTAACGAGGGGAGCCACCCCGGAGATAACGTGCCCAGTAAATGCAACCCACATCTTGCTGCCACTGAAAATTGAGAACTTCTCTTCCCTGAAGACCTTTAGGCAAGGACTGGATGACCCAAATCGATGGGAGACAGGAGCCGGCTTGTACCACCCTCCCAGCACTGCCGTTTTACACATTCTGCTGAGTTCTTTCTTCTTGCTCCTGCAGAGGTACAGTCCTTCTGCTGGTCTTTCCTGAGAGAGCCCCAGTTCTTTCCTTTTAGGCAAATTAGTGAATCAGGATTTGGACAAGCCAGTTGCTTGTTTCTTTCTCTAAGACTTTGTCAGAAAGATACCCAGATTCTTAAATTTTCTTTTTAGAGCTAGAAGGAATCTTACAGATCAGAGCTTCTTAAACTTGAGTACGTAATCACTGGGAGAATCTTGTTAAAATACACATTTTGATTCAAAAGGTCTAGAATGGCACCTGAGATTTTGCATTCCTAACAAGTTCCCCGGTGGTGCTGAGGCTGCTCATCTAAGGACCAGACACTGAGTAGCAAGCTCTAGAATTCAGCACCGTCTGATAGCACTTTCTGTGAGGATGGCAATGTTCTAATCTGTGCTGTCCGATGCAGTAGGCACTAGACATATGTGATGATGAAGCTATTGAAATAGGGCTAGTGAGACTGACGAGCTGAATTTTTAACTGTATTTAATTTTAATTAATTTAAATTTAAATAGTCACATGTGGCTGGTGTCTAAGTATTGAACAGCACAACTCTAGATGACTGACACCCAGCCAGCTGGTTTCTACAGATGAGGCAACGAAAATCCAAAAGAGGCTAAGGGACTCGCCGAGGTCATCCTGGCCTTGGAGGCAGAGCTGGGAGTGAGAGCCCAGTCTTCCACCACTCGATGACGCATTTCTGATCATATCAACATCTCATCTCTGACTTTTCATGAACCGCATTTTAAAATCCTTACCAAGCTTCCTGGGTAATGGAGTTAAAATTTCCCACCTACCCAGTTTGCCTTCAGGTACCACAAAATACAAAATTAGAGAAGTAGACAAAACCATACCCTGTGCCTTTATCTGAGACTTAGGAAAATAGCAATAACAATAGATAGTAGTTATCAAGTTGTTTCCAAGTGCCTGGACACTGTTATGGCACCTGATATACATTATTTCTCACAGCAGCTCTTTACTATTATATCTATATTTTTAGATGAGGAAACTGAGGCTCAGAGAGGTTAATTGACTTGCCCAAGCTCACACAGCGAATAAGTGGAAGAGCCAGGATTCTTACCATGTTTTAGTGACATGAGGGTTCAAGATGGGCAGCTTCTCAGACCCTCTTTAACATGATGTTCAAAGAATAGCTTCTAAATTTAGTTGAAATACATTCCCAGAATCCCAACCATGCATGCGTCCTGTAATGTGGATCCAACAATGTCAGTATCCCTCCTTGCATTGTCCTCTGTATCTGGTGTCCTCCATGTCCTCTGCCAGCACAGCCTGACTAAACCCTCCAGAGCTGACTAGATCTCCATCCTGGTGTCAAGCCCATCTTGGTCTGAAGTCCAGGCTCTGGGGCCCTCATTCTCAATGGAGCCCTCTCTCCTAGAGTCTGGGGATGAGAGGTGCATTCAATGTTGGTCCCCACCTTCTCTGAAGAGCTGGGGGTCAAGGTCAGGGCTCTTCCTGTGCTGGAACATCAGGGCAGGCAGCATACAGCATTTCAAATGCCTACAGTGGCCAGATAAGCACTACAAAGAGTGAGGGAAATCAAGAGATACACAGACTTCATGGGGTGAGGGGCAGTGGGTCTCTAGGGCTCTCCCCCAGTTTAAGTTGCAAGAGTAGCAGCCCCCAGCCAGGCAGGTTGTCTTCAAGGCTGTATAGAGACCCAGTGTTGCCAAATTTTCTGATTTTTTTTCAAGAGAAGCCAGAAATCTAGATTTCTTTGGGTGACATCTCCTGATTTTTTAAAAAGTGGCTCAAATTATTTTTCAACACTCTGGCTGGCTGACTTCGGCCCCCAGCAGTCAGGATGCCTTTGGGGGACCCGCACATTGCTTCTTCTCTTCTCTCTGCTCCGCCTCCCTCCTCACCTCGTCCTTCTCTTCTCCACTCATCTGAATTACCTTCTCACTTGATATCCCCTGGGACATTTTAAAATCATGCTGTAGGCCAGTTTTCAGTCTCACACATAAAGTTTTTCTCTATGCCTTGGGAATATTTATATTTGCCCAGAGGTCTGTAACTCTATTTTATTCCCTTCTCTTGTGCTACTGGATTGAGCGTCTCCCTTACTCTCGCCATCACTTCTTCCTGCAGCGCATAAAAGACTAACCTGACCTCTTTAACCTGAAATTTCTCTTTATTTTGCCTCCATTATCAAGAAGGGCTATTGCCTGACTCAACATCCTTGTCTCCCCAGGATCGAAAACCTGCTTCTTGCTTTTACCAACATCAGTATCCCAAGAGTGATTACCACTCTCCTGCCTTTATCCCTAAAGTACACCCCTGGCGGGGGAACCACAGCTGGAGTCCACAGGAGAGTATCACCAAGGCCCCATCTCTCTTTCATGGGGTTAAAGTAGTTTTCGTGTGGTTGGGTTGGAGGGAGCAAGAAAAGGACCAGGGATGGGGAGGAGGAGCCCCTGGTCCAAGCCAGGAGCCATGCAGACCTGCACAGTCTGTGTATCCAGCCTGAGCCCACACTTACCTGCCTTCATGCAGAGCTGAGCTGTTGCCATGGGAAACAGAAGCGGCCAGGCTTCTCCATCAGCCCTGCACACGCTGGCAAACACAGGCTGCGAGTGCATATACAGTGGATTTGATTGTTTTCCCTGGGAGGCATTAAATGTCAGGGGTAGCAGCGCGAGCCCTGGCATGGAGAGCATAGGCTCCTAGCCCTCGTCCCTATCCCCAGAACTCTGTTTGCCCACTTTGTTGGGGAGTCAAGCAGACTAACATTCCTGAGCACAGATCAACTCTAGGGGTGCAAAGAATGCATCCTTGCTTCCTATCCAAGGCCCAGTCAGCAGCCGTGACAAATGGAGCAGTAAAGTAATAATTAGAGCCTGCAATTGGACAGTCCACCCTAGGAGCTTTCTGGGTTGGGATATTGAAGGTGCACATCACCAGTGCCCCTCCGGGCTGGCAAACAGAGACCCAGAGCCTCACTGCTCCTGCAAGTGCAGGGAAATCAACACGGCCTTCTTTGGGGAAGGACCTGGGGAGCTGTCCTATTGCTCCCCTTTTCCCCCACTTGTGGAGCACTCACTTTGTCTGACATCCTGAAATTTTCATTAAGTGAGACCAGCTCATTCTGATCCTGCTCCCTGTGCAGAAGCCAATGGCCTATGCTCAGCAAGCCCAGATACAATTTGCAGACACTCTGGGCAAAAATAAACCCAGACTGACCATCCCTCTATTCTTCCTGTGCTCCTCCAACCGGCTCTGCTAATCCCCTTCGGGAACCGAGTCTGAACCCATCAGCCTCTCTCACTGTCTTCAGGATCTGCCGGGAATCTCTGTTTAAAGGAAATGTGGACAAAGGGCAGAGTGGCAAAGGAAAAGAGCCCTGGGCAGGAAGACAGGAGATCTGCGGTCTAGCCTGCCACCACCCAAAATGGCTGTGTGACCTTGAATAGGTCACTTCGCCTCTCGGGACTGCAGCACCCCAGGGCTAGCCCAGTTCTAAGGTTCTTGCCGGCCCGAGAGTCTGAAATAAAGGTAAAGAAGAAGAGCAGAGCTGGCTCTGGATGTTGGCATTTTGCAGTAGCCCCGCACCTGTAATCAGGACAAAAGAAGAATGGAGCGTTTCTTGTCCTTTTTTCTTTTCCTTTCTTTCTTTTTTTTAAAAAACTCTTGCAAACTTATAATTTGGTTCGGAACATACTGTTCTCTCAGCCTGCCAAAATAGCTCAAGACCCAGGCCTCCATCTGAGGCGGAACGAATTCCTCATAACTTTGTTCTAATCGTTCTTGCCTTGGGAAAGTCAGTAAATGCCTTCCCCTGTGAAGGCAACCTTTGCACAAGGAAGGAAAGATTAATGAAAGCTGCCGGGTGAACAGAGGAGCATTTAGGGAACGGTTCAGGCCAGCAGTATGCGTGGTTCTGTCACTGAGGCCCGGCAGCCCCTCCTGCAGGACCCGCCAGCCCTGCTCCTTACACCGCCCCGGGGCTTGACAAACAGCATCAGTTCTTCAAAAGCCGGCGAGCATTAAGAGGATGTTCATGCTGTGGGCTTCCCCGAGGTGAGAGCATTCAGGTCCCCCAGGCCAGCATCACCAAAGACTTTCTTTCTGATATTTCTGCACATAGTAAATTGTTCAGGGGGTGGGGTGGGGGGGGGGGGCACTGCTTAAAGTATTCTCTGGTCTCAACGGTTTATTCCAATTTACTAATACTTAATTTTTTCCTTAAAAAAAGCAATTTAAAAAATGAGATTATTCTGAAAGTTTACTTACTGGTTCCTCTCAGGTTCTTCTTCAAGTGCAACAACGTCCTTCCCCGGGGGCTCTGAGTCTTGATATAGAACAGGGAAAAAGGAACGGGAAGCGACAAGAGCATCACATTGCCATGAGTCAACTTCTTTATTTCCCCCACAAAGTTACTAAGTCATTTAAAAGTGACCAAGGGGATAATTGATGCAGAAGAACTACACAGTTCTTTCTAGTATTTTCCTCAAAATAGATGTTGCAGAAACCAATTCTAGAAAATAGTGAAATAGGATATTTTTAAACATCGGGGAATGAGTTATGAAAACTTGGACTCTCTCTTTCCCTTTTTCCTCTTTCCCCTCACTCTCATACTCCTCACCACCACCACCCCCCCCCCCCCCCCCAATGGGGCCACAACAAACATCCACCAGCCCCACTCCCACCCACAGTCGAAGAGGCAGATTGCATAAAGGAGCCCCCTCTGCACTGACAACCCCAGAAGGGTTTAATAATCTGTGTCATGCCTCTCAACCTTGCATGAGACTTTCCATCTTAGAAGTTTAGCTTCCAAGTCAAGAAGACCAGCTTGTGTGGTTTCAGAGAATTAGGAAAGCCTCAAAACCCTGCTACGAAATGGTTCTTCGCCTTTTGATTGAGCCCCATAATATAACTGCAAGAACTTTTATCTTAAAATTCATGGATTCCTGGGGCTGGCCCCGTGGCCGAGTGGTTAAGTTCGCGCGCTCCGCTGCAGGCGGCCCAGTGTTTCGTTGGTTCGAATCCTGGGCGCGGACATGGCACTGCTCATCAAACCACGCTGAGGCAGCGTCCCACATGCCACAACTAGGACCCACAACGAAGAATATACAACTATGTACTGGGGGGCTTTGGGGAGAAAAAAGAAAAAATAAAATCTTAAAAAAAAAAAAAAAACTGCTTTATAAAAAAAAAAAAAAAAAATTCATGGATTCCTGTCAAAATGCAAATATCCTTGAGAAGGATTGATATAAAGAAAAGTATAAAATAGATAATTGTAAAGATGGAACGTTGAAAACTCATGTCAAACATCATGATGAAGGTACACAAATGTCTGATGTTTGGGCAACACGTCTATCAGGCAGCAAACAATAGGGATCCAGTGAATGTTGTGAGCAAATAAACATTACAAAAAATCAGTGAGCATCATTGGAGTAGGTCGGAGGGGAGTGAGTACAGGGCAGGGAGCAGAGTTAGGAAGTAGGACCAGTGTATTAGTCAGGGTTCGCCAGAGAAACAGAACCAATAGGGTGTGTGTGTGGAGAGAGAGAGAGAGGTTTCTTTTAAGCGACTGACTCACATGAGTGTGGGGGCTGGCAAGTCCAATATCTGCAGGGTGGGCCAGCAGGCAGGAGCCCCAGAGAAGAGTCAATGTTGCAGTTTGTGTCCAAAGGTGGACTGCAGGCAGAATTCCCTCTTTTGTGTGTGTGTGAGGAAGATTGCCCCTGAGCTAATATCTCCTGCCAATCTTTCTCTTTTTGCTTGAGGAAGATTGTCCCTGAGCTAACATCTGTGCCAATCTTCCTCTGTTTTGTCTATGGGATGCCACCACAGCATGGCTTGATGAGTGTTGTGTAGGTCCATGCCCGGGATCTGCACCTGTGAATCCTGGGCCACCAAAGTGAGGGCGGGGACTTAACTTCCTCAATTGAAGAATACCATCTTTTGAGAGGGAACCTCAGTCTTTGCTTTTCAGGCCCTCGATTGACTGGATGAGTCCCACCCTTATAGAGGACAATCTGCTTTACTCAAAGTCGACTGGTTTAAATGTTAATCTCATCTGAAAAATGCCTTCACATTAACATCTAGATTAGTATTTGACCAAATATCTGGGTACTGTGGCCTAGCCAAATTAACACAGAAAATTAACTATCACAACCAGATTTGAGTAATGGAAAGGAAAGACAAAACATAGGGTTTTGTTTGTTTTTTTCTGTTTGTTTAGGCTGTGAAGAGTGAATGGACAGAATTTGGTAGCCTGGGGAAGAAAGGAAAGGAATCAGTGATGATCAGAACTTTCCATTTGAACCATGAAGAGCATGGAGGCACTGGTTCATGACGAATGTAGATGGAGAAATAAGGTCTCAGATAGATGTCCAGACAGACATATCCATCCTGTGAACAGCCAGGAATGCGGGCCTGGGCTTAGGAGAAGTTGTGAGGTATAAAGACAGAGAGCTGAGAATTAGCTAGACACGAGCCTGCAGTGTAGCATCCAGAGCATTTCTGTGGAATTGAGTTGCAAGTTGACTAGAAGACTGATTAGATTTCTAGAGGGAGACCGTGTGGAGGGAGTAGAGCAGAAGAGTAAGGAACTTGGCTTATCATGTACTAGGCCACAGGGTTCCTTCCTGGCACTCAAAGGGCCAGGGCTACTGCCGCCAAGCCATCGAACTCATAGAACACATTCAGGAAAAGCTTCAGGAGCATGGCTGCCTCCAGGGAGGTGGAGAGAAGAGTCTTAGCCTCTTGAGGGGTGATGGTGGGAAGGGAGGCATTCCAGGCAGAGGAAACAGCACCTGCAAATGCATAGAGACCAGTGAAACAGTTGCAAACATCTGGATGTGACTAAAGTGTAAAGTGTTGGGGACGAGCAGTCACAAAAGATGCAGGCAAGCCTGCTGGGGCCACATCCTTCACAGCCCTTCATGTCAGGGGCTGACTTAGTCCTGAAGGTGAAGAGAGCTGTTCAAGCAAGATGTTTTCATTAGAACAAGAGGGTCCAGAGTGCAGTGTGGATGCCTCATTGGGTAATCTAGAAGCAACACTGGGGGCCCTAAGAAAGGAAATAGTCAGGGAACTGAGATCAGAGGCAGGCTGGAGATCGTGAGGGTGGGAAGAAGAATGAGGCCCAGGAACCGGCCCCAGACTTCGATGATTAGGAGGTCACTGATGTTCTTGGAAGAGCCATTTTAGTAGAGGGCTGGGAGTGAACCAGAGGTGAGAGGAGAGGGGCAAGCCAACGGTTACTTTGGAGTAGTGTTGGGGATGGAAATGGGGAGGGACAAGGCAGTAGTAGAGAAGCAATGGTTTTGGTTTTGGGAAGAACAGAGAAAATTTAGCATATCAACCTCACAGAAGAGAATGAGCACAGGAGGAGATGAGATGAGGAGAAAAGGAGGAAAGCAGCTGGGGATGGTCTCAGCCCTCTTGAGGAAGGAGTCGGGGGGCCTTCTGCTCAAAGAGAAGGGAGGGGGAGCAGAGATCACTGGCTCGTGGAGAGCAAATCTGGGAGCAGGTGCTAGAAGAAACATTGGGAGAAAGAGGCTCCCCAGCCCTCAGGGGCCATCATGGGTCACCAGAGAGCATGGTTTGGAAATCCCCAAGCAGTGCCCAAACTTTGGAGTGGGAGAAAATGGCCAATTGGGTTTAGACCCTGAAGTCTCCTAAAAGTGCATGCAGCTTCAGGTGGAGGAGCTGGGATGCTGGCAGAAGACATTCAGCTGTTGCTGTGAGATTTCTTTTCCAGGCTTCCAGTGAACTTGGAGAACGGAAAAGCTATGCTCAGCTGGGAATCTTCACCTGATTCAGCTCAACTGTTCCTTAATGACTTTAAAAGTCTGCAGTTAGTGGGCTGGACTCTTTGAGAGAGTCTGTACTCCTCAGGAAAACAGCTTCAGAGCAGCAATGGTTGAGAGGGCTGATGAGCAGGAACCATCCTGATTTCAACACCAGGGCCTGGCAGCCACCAGACAACTGGGGCCTGAGTTTCTGGGGCATCTCTAGGATTCTGCCTGAGGTGGCCAGCAAGGAGGAGTCAATCAGTGAGTGCTAAAATTACTGTGTGATCCTAGGGTCAGGAGCATCTTCCGTTCTCTCCTGCCATCAGGAATCTCTGTCCCACAGAGGTGACTTTCAATTTTATGAGTCATGAAGCATGGATAATAACAGGGCAGACAGACTCTTGACTCATCCAACCCAGGGATTCCTCTGGAGGACCGAGAGAGGGAGAGGGTGTTTTGAGAGGCTGCAAGGCCTGGCATAGACAAATGTTGTCATTTTGTCCATTTAGTAGCCATTAGCCCCTTAAAAATTGCTGTACTCTTTCCTGAACAACCTATTAGAGCTAGTAAGTTTCATACATTGAATGAACAATGAGAGAATTCGGTCCCAGGAGTCCAGTTGTGTCATCTCTACTCTAAAATTCTCTCCTTTTAATTTCAGAGTGATATTCCCAGGTCTATTTTTCTGAAATCATCCAAGTTATATCCTTTACAATAAAAGATCTGGATTATTTCTGCTCTTTCAATACTGAAGCCTTCCAGCATTTCACAATCATTTCTGTACTGAAGCTGTTCTCGGCCAACCCCCTTGCCGTTTTGCCCTCTCCAGGATCTTTTCTAGCTCCATCAGCTTTTTCTCCTGTTCAAGTCCACTTTTCAAGCATAACTGTGCACCAGGACCATGCTAGGTCCAGAGGCTCCCGTGATTCCAGAAGCTCACATCTGGCTGTGAAGATAGATGCACAAGTAAGAAAGTCTAGAAAGAAGAACAACGAAGTTATACAGAAAGGAAACCCAATGAGTATCGCTGAACCCTCAGTAGTAGAGAGTGGAGTAAGGGAGAGCCAGAGAGAAGAAAGAGGATGAGGCTGAGTTTACCAGTTGGAGAAAGTGGGAGGGGCATGAACAAGGCCGCAGATTGCCAGTGAGAAGGCCCTGGGATTGCCAGTGTCTGGCCCTGGTGGATGCTCCACCAGCAGCCCTCACCCTTCCTTTTGCCCAGCCTCCCCTGCAGTCAGACCATGGGTGTGTGACTCAACCCTGGCCAATGGGAAGTCTGTGAGAAACCCATGGGAGAGTTTTCCTCTCTCTTAAAAAGACATGCATAGGAAGAAATAAGCTCATCTTTACTAGACCTGCTGTGACTTCTAGAAGGGCTGCAACCACTTTTGTAACATGAGGGGAGACAGAGCTGAAAGACAGGGAGCTTCTGGGTCCTCAGTGGCATCTGTAGCCACTGAACAAACCCAGACCCCTGATATGGGAGACAATAAATATCCCAATTGTTCAAAGTCACTTTACTTTTAATAAAATTTATTT